CAAGAGGCGGTTAGATAGCCATCTAGGTGGGGTCATCTAGACCCAGCACTCTTTCCTCCCTATGCAGGGGGTCAGACTCGATGATCTATTCAGGTCCCTTCCAACCCTAACATCTATGAATCTATGACAAAGACCTGAAGTTACTATAAAGCAAGAAAACGTTCTTTCCTCTTTCAGCAACTGTCCACCTGGGCTAGGGACGGAAGTTACACATAAACCAGTTTAAGTCATCAGAAACTGGTTTAAACCCATAACAGAACAAAAGTTCAGTGCACATAAACCAGTTTCAAAATGGCTGATACTGGTTTAAGATAAACCCAGATGAATGCAGTATCAGATTTAACTGATTTGAGACAACCCAGTTTATAAAACTTCTGTCCCAGGCCCCTTCCTGGTTCAAGTTAAAGCAGGGTCCCCCAGCATGTTTTCCAGCCCTGGGCTGTGCTGTGCTGTCTGCTCCAGCAGAGAAGGGTTGGGCAGGGGAGGGGGGGATGCAGGCATGTGGCTGCATTTCCTGAATCAAAGGTAAATGTATGTCCATGGCTGTCTACAATTGCCTACTAAATTGGTCTGTACTGAGAATTATTAGAATCATAGGGTTGGAAGATACCTCAAAGTTCATCTAGTCCTACCTTCTGCACTGATGCAGGATTCTCCACTCTTAAACTATCCCAGGTGGATACCTATCCTACCTCTTCTTGAAAATCTCCACTGAAGAAGATTCCATAACATATCTAAGCACCTTGTTGTTCCTCATAATTTGTTGTAAATCTGCTTTGCTGCAGTTTAACCTATTACGACATGTTCTACCCACTATAACTGGGGAGAACAATGTTACTCCATTTTCTGTATGGCAGCCTTTCAAATATTCAAAAACTGTTATCATGTCTCCCCTTAATCCTTTCCTCCAAGCTAAATACATCTAGTTTTCCTTGCATGGATTGTATTCCAACCCCTTTATCATCGTTGTCACTCACTGTTGGATCCTCTTGAGTTTCTCTACGCTACCCTCTTTACAATTCTGTACCCATAACTGGACACAATACTCAAGCTGAGGCCTAATCAGCACTGAATAGAATGCTGCTTTCACCTCCCATTCTTGCACACATAATACTTCTGTATGCAGCCTAAAATTTCATTTGCTTTTTTGCATCAGTATCATACTGATGACTGATGTTGTGTTCATGATCCATTGCAACTTCTAGGTCATTCTTTGCTGTGCTATTGCCCAGACAGTTTTCCCTCAATCTGTATTTCTGCATCTGTTTTTTCTTCCCTGTGTTTATCACCTTACATCAGTCTTTTCTGAAATTTGTTACTGCTCTAATTTATGCAGCTCTATTCGTAGTTTATTCCTGTCTTCCAAAATGTTTGCAACCTATTCCAGTTTTGTTCTATTTGAATATTTGGTCAGCATACCCTGTTAAAACTCACTGGACCCAGAACATACCACAGCAGGATCAGATTTGTGATCTGCCAATCTGACATGGATCCATGTATAGTTACTCTATGCTTCCAGTTATCCACCCAGATATGTATCTAATTAATGGTAGTTCTATCTACCCTACATTTTCCAAGCTTATTTCTGAGAATGGCATATGAGATTGTGTCAAAAGCCTTGATAAAGCCCAGCTGTATTATGTCCACAATGTTTTTTTTATACATCAAACTCATTACTCTGCCAAGATAGGAAATTAGATTGGTTTGACATCACTACCAGCCTCTATGTCTAGGAATGATTACCCACTCATCCTCCAGATATTTAAAAATTGACTGCTTCATAATTTGCTCTAATAACTTCCCAAACATTGAAGTCAGACTGACTGGTTTTTAATTCCCTGGGTCCTCTCTTTTTGCCTTTTTGTGGTGGGAACTACCCTTTTCCAGTCTTCTGGAACCTCACCTGCCATCCAAGAGTTTGCAAATATTATCTGAGATTTCTTTGGGTAATACGTTCACATTTCTTTGGGTAATACTTTCAGCAGGTCTGAGTGAATTTCATCAACCCTGTGCTGACAAATGAAGTCTGTAAAAAATTCCATGATATACTTTTTACTTATTGTGATCTGTATTCCTTCCCATTCTTTCTTTATGTTCATGTTATTATCTTTCTGGTTGCAACACATTTTTGTGTGAAGCAAAGTAGGCACTGAACATCTCCATTCATTAATAGCTCATATTTGTTAATAGTTCATACTCTCAGTGGAACAACTGACCTACAGTTTCCGTGGTTTGTTTTCTGTCTGAAATATTTGTGGAACCCTTTATTTTTCCTTTTGTTTTATACATTTTTTTGCAGCCTGTTCAAAACAGATTCAGAGCAAATTCGGCAGAGCTGAATCTCCAAAACAGATTCAGCCAAAACAAAACAGGACATCGATCCGAAACACCAAAACGAATCACTGTCCTCTGAAACGACCAAAACCAAAACTGAATCAAAACACAGCCGTTTTGCACAGCTCTAGTAGGCACCCTTCCTCCCCTATGCTACTGCCCACTGGGACCTTCCAGTTTTTCCAGAAACACACTGAGTATTGTGTGTGCTGGAGGGAGGATTCCTCTTTGCTTGGTTGAGGGACAGGGTCAGCTGATGCAAGGGCAAGGCAGATGAGGGCAGGCCTGCCTGGCAGAGACTGTCTTGAGCACAGGGGGCTGGGCTTGGAGTGTCCCTTCCCTGCACTGGAGTTCCCCCTTCCTCCCTGCCCACCTTGAAGTGAGCACATGCCCTGTGCATTCCACCACCTCCCTCCAGTCTCCTATGTGGAGAGATTTGCAGCAGCAATGGGGAGAGACAGATCAGGCTCTTTACTGCTGCAACAGGTAAAAATCAGGGAGCAGCAGTGGCAGCAAAGGGGAGGAGGGGTGGTACTACTCACAGCCTATTCACAGCAGGTGCCAGCTTCTCTCTGTCATCTCCTGCCCTGGGTAAAGCATGCAGCCATTTGGTAGAGGTGAAAAATTGTATGGCATGGTGATGGGAGAGAGAAACCCTTACCTTTCCTGCTCCTTGCACTGAGAGGGAAAGGTTATTCAGGAGAGAGTAGCTGGTGCCTGGAGCAGTTTCTAGAGAAAAAAAAATAGGCAGATAGGCAATTACCAGGTGACGTAGTTGTGAAAGCTATTTCTCTGTAGGTTCAGCATTGGATTTTTCTGCTCCCATTGTCCTGTGCCGAAGGAGGCTTTAACTGTCACTGCTAAAGGAAACACGTATCAAGAATGTGAGTGTGACCAAAAACACAAAGATATTGGGACTTTTAATAAGTCTGTCACTTCTGGGGACATAGGGAAAGGGAGTAAAGTGCTCTTCTGCCTCTGAACTACACAGATACAGTGCATATTGTTATACTTTGCACTCCCTTTACCTTATGTAAAAATATGTCAGTAAAAATATTTGGGTGACTCTAAAAGGTTTGCAAATTATCAGTAAAAAAATTCTTGGGTTGGCAACCCTGGGTTGCAGTCATTTTTTTTCAGAATGCATTTGGACAAATATAACAAGTGGCAACAAGGATGGGAACACACAAGTGGGGCATGCATTAAAGAGACCAGAAGAATCTGCCCTAACTGTAAGTACTTGAAATCTGCTGGGATCGCAATGGAACAATTGGAA